CTGTTTTACGCGAAGTGGCGTAAACTCGGTGAAAAACGCGATATTCGTCGTATGTAGTAGTCGCGAAATATGTTTTTCATATCACTAGGGTGGTGAAACTCCAGTATTCACTGTTGATGAAGCCGGTTTTTACGAGCGAACACAGGTCGTCTAGCTTCTTCACGGTAGGTCATATCGCGTCTAGAGCTGCCAACATCCGGCCGTTTCACGATGGTTTTATCCGCTGACACTGTTGTGGTAAGATGGGTTTATCACGGGTAGGCTGGTAGGTCGTAATAGGTGTCCTCGGATGGACATATTCTGGAGAAGCCTGATGACCACGCTCATGCTTTGGAAATGCTGAAGGCTCTACGAGGAAAGACCCATGAGGTTAGCACTGGTAAGCGTTGCTCTTGCTGTTGGGCTTTGACTGTGTTGGTAGGAGTCTGTATTGTGTGTAAATGGTCGGATGGCACCACCAAGAAACGACAGTTCACTACTACTACTAGAGGTGAGGAGAAACTCGTACCACTCCTCCGGCACTTCTCTATTGTAGTTACCTTTGCCGCGAACATCACTGATGAGGATCTGCAAGCCTATATAGAGACGGAGGAGCCTATGGGGAAAGCTGGTGGCTACGGCATACAGGTAGGTCCTTTTATTACTACAGTGGAGTCTTACCCGGGTGAAACTATCATAGTCAGTAGTAAAACAGAATCGATAAAAGTTCTGAATCTACGCAAAATTCTCTATCGTCAAGTCATTTCGGTTTTCTCTGTCCATTTCGGGTACTATCACAAAAATCGGTCACCCGTGGTTCGTGTTATGCAAACACTAGGGAATAACATTTTTCACGTTCCACTTCGCGAGTAACGCGTAAAACACGTGATTCGTCCGGTGTGGTTCGCGAGGTATTTCCACTTCACTTCGTGTCGCGTTTTTCACATGGAGTAATACGCCACTTAACGTGAAACAGGTCGTGAAACTCCCGTGTGTTTCATCTTGATAGTTCGAGATTCCTAATTATCGAATTAGCGAAGTTACTACATTTTTTTCGCTTCTGACTATCAAAATCGAGCACACTGGAGTTTGCTTCACCCGTTTTACGTGAAGTGGTGAAAAACGCGATATTCGCGGTGATATGCAGTAGTCGTGAAATATGTTTCCCACTAAGGTGAAACTCCACTGTACTCGTACTACTACAGTGTGTGCCAATTTGATATGTAAAGAGTGTGTGTTTTCTATTCCGGGATTAATGATAGTGAACAACTTGTCGCTATCATAGTCTCGAAATGGTACTTTTATCACATCACATGTTCATAGCAATGTTTACATTGTTCATGCGATGTAGTTTCAGATCGATTCTTATTAAAATAACGCACATGTTTTTTCACATGTTTCTCCACTTGATACGCATCGCACTCAGGGTATCGGCGGCCTCCTCGCATGCAAGGTCGAGGGTTGTTATTCTAACGTGGTTGGCTTACCTGTACACGACACTGCTCGAGCTATAGCCGAGATACTGTCAGATGGCCATTGAGTCACTTCCAAGTTGATGTTTCTTTTCCTATAAAAAATTATCTCACTGTGTTGGGGGAGATCATCACTTAACGCCTTCTGAGGGCTAGGCGTCGATTTAGTTCTCTTCTATGATCGTATTGTTTTCTATTGCTCGCTACCTGATCTCATTAGTCTTACTTTTTGAGTGCACCAAATGATTACTCGCCCTTCTCCGTCGAAGACTAGCTAAGGCGTTACAACGGCTACTCGTCGAATTAGTTCTCTTTTGCGGTTCTATGATCAAATTGCTTTGTACCACTCGCTACCTTCGTCCCCCTAGACCTAGGTTGGCTCTGTGGCCTTTGGGGTACCCAAGCCTATCGATTGTTGAAGTCAGAAGAACTTCTGTACAACTTTCGTGGAGCTTCGTTTATAGGGTGTTCTCACGCGATTACCCATTGTGTACCAGTCGGAATTTTATCATGCTGAAACGAAGTCTCGCTGGGGCGGTCTCTCGTCGGACTCCTTCCTCGCGAGGGTCGAGAACATCATCATCATCGTCGTCGAGGAAGGGCAGTAGCATTTCGTCGTTGAGCAAACGCCATCCTGATTTGGAGTTAACAGCAGCAATAGGAGAGGACTTTGGCCAGCGCGACGGTCCATACACTATACAGTGCACCAATGAAATAGGGTATGCTAGTATGGCTTTTGCTTGGTGAAGTTGTTCATCGCTGAGGTCCGCGTGGAGTGTGAAGTCAGGGCGAGGTCACATCATATTGAGAAAAAAGGGCACTGAATTCAACCTCTACATACGTAGGTGTCACGAAGGCTATCGCGAGGTTGAGGGAATATATGTAATCGCTTTCCTCAGCAGCTGAGCTCGGGAGTTTCCAAAGCTAATTTTAGAAACTATAATTAGTGTCACGAATTATGGTAGAAGTGTTCAGAAAACAGTAGGAATTTCCCGATTATTTTCATATTGTCACCAACACATGTAGTTGACCAAGCTTATATGTATCTTCTCACACTGCGCTCAGGTGAGCTGGACCCTTCAACAGCAGTAGCCACTCCATCTAGAGTCCCCAACGGCACCACGTGTTTGATCATGTTGGAGCCCAGCAGCCAGCCTGGTGGCACGCACGTGTCTCTGAAGTTCAGTCGGACCCTCTGTAGGTTCCTTCGTGACGTGTGACACGTCAGAAGGCAGCGTCTTGGTCACGGATGACAGGGGCCTGTTGGCCTCGGGGGCATCGAAGTTTTTGCTCAGAGAAAGAATGTGGTCGGCCGATTGTCAAGATACATGCAAGTGATGGTGGTGACACCAGGGGTGGTGACACTGATGCTTCAGATGTCATCAGTCCTCTCGGTCATCCTGATCTGTTCCTCCGTCATAGTAATTGGAAACTCCAATGCGATCCTGTGGGGTCGGGAACGGAATTCAATGGAGATGCCACTTTCAGATGTGTACGCATGCCCAAAGGAATGTTCATCCTACCGTTAGTACGCGAAGGAATTTTCAGTACTCCAATTTAGGTTTTGGTCCCCGTCAAGGAAGAGCCTTCCGAAGTTGAGTAAGCTCGCTCGGTGGTGTTGTGATGGAAGTATTTTTGTTTGTGTGTAGAATTCTGAGCAAAAAACTGGCGAAATTAATTGCTCGGAGGAACTCTTATAAACAGCAACTCGTCTCATTGAAGCAAAAGTATGAGGCTTAGTCGTGGGCCTTGTCGCGGAATAGAGTCTATCAGGTTTGAGAACGCCAAGACGCTTGTACAGTCTTTGAAGAAGGACATTACGGCAACAGAAAAGTTGGTGTCACATACCACACCATTGTCGAATCTATCACCGTCTCAGAGAGCTTAACGAAGCGAAGAAGCGAAAGCTTGACGAGAGCACATCTACTACAGCTTCTACCGTACTCTAAGTTGACTTTAATGTTCCTCGAGAGTCACTGTGTGGCTGATGCAGAATTCGATCGATTCCCTTTGTATTAGTTTTTGTTGCCGTGAGTGCTTGCCTTCCAGTTAACTGCCCATGTTGTTGACTCCTTCTTTTCTCATTCTAGAGTCGTCGCGTTGACTACACCTGCAGCTCCTATGCAGAGTTGCAGATTCGTAGTGGTATTATAGTGAAACTCCTCGAGTACTGAGCCCCCAGTGTTAGTACTTCGTAGGAGTAAGGGCGATGCTTTAATACAGCATCGTTATACATATACAGTGAGTGCTAATTGATATGCAAATGTAAAGAGTGTGTGTTTACTACTCCGGGATTAATGATAGTGAACAACTTGTCGCTATCATAGTCTCGAAAGGTTACTTATATCTATTTGACTTGTTCATACGATGTAGTTTCAGATCGCTTCTCATTAATCTCGGAGAATACGCATGTCCTTCACATTTGTATATCAAATTGACACACATTGTACACTTCTGGAGTGGCCCCTCTTCTCGCTGATTCGTCAAACTTTCATCCCAACACCAACCACTTTCGAGCAACACTGGCACTTTGGTCTCAGCGGTGAAGCGATAGAGACGCCACTTTTAGATGTGTACATCTGTTCGGCCGGTGATTTGGTGATGGAGAGTCACAGTGCATATTAAGTAATCGTAAACTAGTTTTAAATGTCTGTACCAAGTTTTGCACAGTGGTTATCACAGCATAGTGTAGCCTCACTAAGAGCCTGTGCCTCCAACTCTGTATCTCCTATCATAGGAGTAGTTGGCAATCAAGCTGCTGATGCTGACAGTATCGTATCGGCTGCGGTGAGTCAACAACACTATATGCATCTCTTTTACTTCTCTCTCGGTAGGCGCTAGCTTATATCCGATCTCTCACTGATCACGCCGGTAGCTATCAGCCTTTTGTCCAGTGCAACGAGGAAGATCTATTGCTCAGACCAGAGGTGAACTCCTTCAGTGATATCAACAGTATTCTCATGTTCAGGTCGGTTTACTCTGGTCCCGATTTACCGAGTCACCGAAAGTCACTTTGCCGTCTACGAGGACACAGTCGTTGTTGCCAGCAGTCAGTAGTTGGATTATTGTTGATCACAATGAGCTCACAATTAAAGCTCCACGCAGCACTGTTGTTGGTATTGTCGATCACCATGTTGATGCTGGGAAGTAACTCCTCTATTGAGATTATTGATAGACCGTGTCTCGAGTAGGTATGCGGATCTCCAGGGTGCTGATCGTATAATCGAACCATGTGGTAGCTGCTGTACACTGGTCGCCCGTGAGTATCTCTCCAATGCATCTAGAGAACTAGATTCTTCCCTGTGCGGGATGCTCCTTGGGGTCATTCTCCTCGACACTGTGAATATGAGCTCTGAGGCGGGGAAAGTAGGTGGCATCTGAGGTCGATGTTGCATGATGACGATACTCTTAGGCTACCGCAGTAGACTGGGACATAGTTGAGCGTTTGTCTGCAGTAGTCCGCTATGGTGCTTCTCGCAGAAGAAGTTTGTTTGAGGAACTACAGCGGGCTAAGACCAACCCTAAAATGTGGGAAAATATGACACCTCGACAACTGATCGACTATGATTACAAGTGAGCCTTCTCGTAGTTATTGCTTACTGTCTGGGTGGAAAAATATGCATATGTGTTGGTGAAAAATTTGAAAATTCTGAGGAAATTATTATTGGTTTTTGTACATACACTTCTACCCGAATTCTCATGCGAAATATTATAGTTTTGAACTTCCATAGTGAGTGAACTCCTGAGCTCAGCTGGGGAAAGTGAACATGGATTCCAACACTGGGGTCGCAGATCCCGAGAGACGGCCTTCCCCCGACCTCAGATTCTTCGATTCGGGCGTCGTCGGTGTTGGAATGAGCAGCTTGTTGGTGCCCCTGCAAGGAGTGGCATCAGAGTGCATCAGGAACATCCGAAGTCGTGGGGATGCCGCTGCCAGGCTCTGGGTGAGATAAGGCTCCACGCTTGTGGTATGAATATCTCCTGTAGGTGCTCATGTCGTGCTATATGGATAATGAGGGCCATTTCTGCCGAGAGCTCCTCGTGTGTGCGAGAGACCCTGAGAGGGATGCCTCTTTGCTGTCGTCTGTGACCACCTTCCTAGAGGCCAATGGTGAACTCCAGCTACGGCCGATGAACATCGTAGGGAGCTACTCGAAACTATCGTGAACTAATCTTGTATCATAATACGTATTCATATAATTATTTCTACACCGTATTTCAAGAATCGCCACGTATATCGCCGTTTCAATTCCTGGTGATAGATATTTTTTCGCTTCCATTTCAATTTCATTGCTTTTCCAAGTTGACTTCGTAGACAGATAATTCAGGCTACTTGTTATGAACGAAACAACAGGTGATGCCCCCGTTGAATACGAGGCCAGCCTTGCCACATGTGACAGTAATGAGAAACACTGTGAACAGACGCACCTGGTTTAACAACCATCCGTTTTTTCATTCATAAGGAAAAAAAGGTTGTTCCATCTGTTTGGAATCGACTCGAAAAAATTATATTTAAATGGAAAAATGTAAAACGGAAGTGGGACGAATTGAGTTCTGTCGATCACTAGAAATTGAAACGGCAATATATGACCCCGAAGTGGCAATTCTTGGAAAAGATCGGGAAATGGTATAATATAATCCATTCTGTATCTATGATCGTATATCACCTGGTTATACTGATTAGTAGTATATAATTATATATAGAAGTATGCTATGACCGTAAATATTAAAAGGTATTCATCACTGTATTAACAAGAGCTTCTTGCCATCACCCCTCAGGATGTCCCAGGGGCGAGAGCGTATCATCAAGGCAATGTGAAGGCAAGTCGCAAGAAGGTCGCGCCGGTCCTCTGTGAGTTCTTGCAGCGCGAAAATTCGAAATAATGCTGTAGAAAATTTCACCCATCTCCTCTTGTTTAGGGTGTTTGTTTTCTCCATTTCACTGAGTTTTGTTTGTCAATTATCTACTAGTAGTAGACCCACCTCACTACTGTGAGCCGCAGTTAGTGTGGTTGTCGTGTTCACCCGATGTTAGCATGGTTTGGTCTTGGGGACACCGACGAGCAGGTCGCTATAAATCCGGGCAATTCTGAAGTATCTCTGCAAGAGGGGTCAGCTGCTGCCATCAGTGACGGTGAAGCAGTTGAAGTTATATCGGTCCACGAGTCCCAAGGGGAGCTTGCTGACGATGAACATCCTGTATCGGAATATGGGAAGGCTTCCTCTTGGGGTATATCAAGTGATGGATCTCCGGTCATTCAAGCGGCTGTGCCGTCCGAGGACCCACCGCGGCGGAGCGTAGTTCCACCTTTGAGACTAGACAAATTGAATAGTTTCGAGGTAGAGCCCATCACCTCCTACTCGCCGACACCCGAAGCCTCTGCTGGGCTTGCTGGCGCACTCGTTGGATGGTTCAACACTGGCGAAGATGTGGAAGTTAACCCACCAGGGGACACCACTAAAGACGACTCTTTATCCGGGGGGAGCAGTGAGACGGAAGGCTATTGGCAAGAGGATCGCAGGGGTGAGGGAGTTGGTTCGGGGGAGGGACACGATTCCAGAGAAGAGCATCTTCGCGAAGGAGAACTCCTTGGTGACAACGCAGAGAATCTTGGGGGAGGAGAGCTTGACAATGAGGACCGGAATACAGGAGAAAAGTTCACTGAAGAAGAGTATCAAGAGGGAGAAGGGCTTGTCGAAGATGGACAGTACCAAGAGGGAGAAGGGCTTGTTGAAGATGGACAGTACCAAGAGGGAGAAGGGCTTGTTGAAGATGGACAGTACCAAGAGGGAGAAGGGCTTGTTGAAGATGGACAGTACCAAGAGGGAGAAGAGCCTGTTAGCTTTACTACCGATGATCATGCTGGTTCTGAGATAGAACTTGAAGTGAGCTCGACTGTTGGGGATGAGGCTGAAAGTGAAGCTGAAGCACCGGCATACGAGACGACCGCCACCACACAGGATTGGGTACCAAGCCTGGAAGCGGTGGGAGCGGCTGCACGAAAATCCCTGCAGAGGCTATCGGTTATGGTTTCGCGAGATGGAGCCTCATCAGAGGGCGATGTTGATTTCTATCGGGAAGTTGAACTGGAGGATGACGATGACGAAGAATCGGACGGGTCGGAAGCAACGGGTTTCGAGACGGACGAAGAAGATGAGCAGCGGCGTGGGTCTCAAGACGATCTCCGTCCGGACTCATTGGAGCGTCAGCCTGTCATAGAGCCGCTTACCTCCAATGGGACCTCTTTGGTGGGGCGAGAAGACGTACAGCAGGCTCCCTGGGAGGTGAAGGACGCAGTTCTCGACGAGGAGGTACCATCGTCATCATCAAATGGGGCCTCGGCGATGAGTGGCGAGGAGGTGGTCATGACTGTGGACAGCTCCGAACAGGAGGCAATGATGGTGGATCGCAGAGGAGACCATCCAGAGGATACCGTAGCGGCAACTGAGCATCTGAAGGGGATGGAAATCGACAACTCTAGAGAAGCAGCGAGGTTGGCAGACGGGGATTCGGCGATGAAATATCAGCATGGTAGAGCAATATCAGGAGCCCCTACAGAAAGGAGGTCGTCTCCTAGAGGAGCTGCTGTTAACTCGCTAGCGAC